TAGGGAAATTTTAACACACATTAAACCTTCAAGTGGTAGTACAAAAACTGGAGGGTCCCAGTATTAGGAAGAGATGGAAAAATAGATGACACTGTGGATAGTAGATGTATGCTTAAGGTAGATCTATTTTGTGCCTCTTATTTTTATTTTTTAAATTTTTCTATACTAATATATAAATACGAGTGTCAAGTATTGCCAAGCATTGGTTCACCAAAACAGTACATCCAAGTGCAGGTTTACACTATGTTCAAACATTCAAATAGCACCTTGTCAGTTTCACAATCACTAGTTCCTAGGGGACTCACAAATCTCCAGGAATTTCCCAACCTGGAACTGGAAATACCCTTCCACAAAGCACAGTTCTAAGTGGGGAGGGCCTGAGTGAGTCTTAAACCTGTTTTAAGTCTGCAGCATATCTACACCCAGAAAGATGCTTCCCCCTTACACCTCTTTTGCTTAGAATACGACTTACTGCTGCCCTTTCAAAAGGCTGCTGTGATTTCTTGGCTAATGTATTTTTCCCCACGTGCACTTAGAGAGATACTTGCAGATTCCCATGAAAGCAAACTAACAACAATGATGCCCCCGAGGGGGAGCGTGTGTGTGAGAGGGAGATGAGTATAGGATCGACCTTTCTCAATAACCAACGCACTTCTCTTCCAACAGGCTTTATTGTGTCAGTTTAAAGGATTCACCCGTCATCATCGCCACAAACTCTGCAAAGAGAAAAAAATATATACCAAGAAGGTAAAATCTATTTTTTTCCCTTCTCTTCCCCATCTCTTTTCCTTAAAAAGCACAGATTTCCCCTAAATTCTGTCAGTACCTGGAACGGGATACAGCAGTTGGGTTCGTAGCCAGAAGTGACGTCACAGTACGATACCAATAGCTCCCTGTCTGGATTGTACTTGCTTATTAAGGACACAGGGCATGGAAGTCTTCTATGGTGTGTGCTCATCCCTCTGCCTCTCAGCTCCATGCCCTAGGCTACTCCGAGGGGGAAGGGTCACTATTACCCCCATGGGGTTTCTGCAGGCCCCAGAAATTGGCATGATGACTCAACATGCAGCTGTTCTTCCCAGTTCCCCAGCAATGGTTTGGTAAGTACAGAGTACTTCGTAAGCACCTTGTAAGTACCAGAGAACAGCTGCTCTGGTATGCTCTAACCAAATCTCCTGCATGGTTCAAGTGTGAGTTGTGCGTATTGGCGAGCTAAGGGCACCTTCCTTGGTGCTGCTCCACAGCTGTGTTGCAAAGATGCCGGCATTTGGGGGGGCATATGGGTGATCCCTTGGGGGTGGGTGAGGGCCACATGCCACAGCACCCGACAGAGAGGCTTCCTGCCCCCTCCCCTAGAACTGAACGCCAACACAGTGTGGTGGGGTGGTTACAATGCTGTGAGACGGGTTCAAATCCCCACTCAACAGTCATGCTCCCGCTCAGTCTAACCAACCTCACAGGGTGATTACGGAAGTGGAGAGAGATGGGTATACCACCCGAAGTGGTCATAGATCCAGAAGAGTTAGCCGTGTTAAGTCTGTTGCTGCAAAACAGTGAAAAGCCCAGTCGCACCTTTAAGACTAACAAACTTCATTGTAGCATAAGCTTTCGAGAAACACAGCTCTCTTCATCAGATGCATCTGACGAAGAGAGCTGTGTTTCTCGAAAGCTTATGCTACAGTGAAGTTTGTTAGTCTTAAAGGTGCTACTGGGCTTTTTACTATTTCACTCGAAGTGGAACGCCAAAGACAACAGGGAACCCTTAGCGTTGGATTATGTTGGATATGTGTTTATACAGTCTGTTGGGTTATGACCACTAACCGACCTTTGCACTTTAATGAGCGTGATATACAGTTTTTCTCATATTTAGTTATGAATGGTTGATGGTCTGCCCTTGGCGGGCGTTATTTGTGGCTATACCTGAAGTGGAACGGCAGAATAAACATGGGATAACGAGGGCTCTTTTTGTAGAAAAGGCCCAGCAGGAACTCATTAGCATAATAGGCCACACCCCTGACAGCACAGCTAATTAGCACATTAGGCCGCACCCCCATGTTGCCAGAAGTGTGCTCATCCAGCCATACACACCTTTTGCTTCTTATTCTGTTTACCTTGTTTGTTGTCAAAACCCAGGGCCTTTTTTTGTAGCAGGAACTTCTTTGCATGTTAGGCCACACACCCCATAATGTAGCCAGCCCTAATGAGTTCCTGCTGTTGGGTGTGGCCTATTATGCTAACGAGTTCCTGCTGGGCGTGGCCAACTCAGGAGCCAGCCGGAACTCCGTTCCTGTGCGTTCCTGCCCAAAAATAGCCCTGGATAAGACTGCACTAACCCAAATGTCACTTGCAGTGGCGTAGGAATAGAACCACACCATTCCTGCAATATAAGAATATAGTCTGGCTATGGTTCCTGGGTTGCCAATCGCCTGGTGTCACCTGGAGATCTGCTACTGCAATTGTTCTCCAGACAACCAAGATCAGTTCCCCCTGAAGAAAATGGCTCCTTTGGAGGGTGGACTGTATGGCATTATTCCCTGCCGAGGATCCTCCCCTCCTCAAATCCCCTGAGCACTACCAACCTCCAGGTAAGGCCTGGAGTTCTCTAAGAAATCTAACTGCTCTCCGGAATACAAAGACCAGTTCCCCCAGAGGAAACGACCGCTTTGGAGGGTGGAGTTGAAGAAATCTCATCCCTGCTAAGCTCCCCTCCATCCTTAAACTCTGCCGTCCCCACGGCAGCCTCCCCACAAATCTCAAGGAATGTCCCAAGGTGCCCTATGTCTGTCCCCATAGTATTTACATTCAAAATGATCGGAGTCATTTGCGAATATAGAAGAGATTCAGGAGTGTTGGCAGAGTGCCTTTTACTGCCCCCTGCTGAGAGGTCACGGGAACTGCATGGGTGCTTCCGTCAGTCTCCCTGCTAGAGCCCTTGATGGCAGGGCAGCGTAGGGCTGCTTGGGGGGATGTGGGGATGGTTAGGGTTGCCAACACCCAGGTGGGGCCTGGAGAGCCCCCAGAATTACAGTTGACCTCCAGACATGATTTCCCCCCCGGAGAAAGTGGCTGCTTTGTAGGGTGGGCTCTAGGACATTATAACCATATTGAGGCCCCTCCTCTCCCTAAACCCCACCCTGCCTAGTTTGCCACTCTTAACCTAGACACCAAACTACAGAGGTGATGCCATAGAATCTCCCTCCTGATCTGCCACTTTCTGAGCATGCTCATTCCCCTCCAGGAAGACCGTGGAGCACTGGTTAAAAGGAAACAGATTGGGGAAATGTACCCAAACTTCTATGAGCCAGTTTGGTGTGGTGGTTAGGAGCACGGACTCTAATCTGGGAGAACCAGGTTTGATTCCCCACTCCTCCACGTGCAGCCAGCTCGGTGACCTTGGGTCAGTCACAAGTCCTTTCAGAGCTGTTCTCTCAGGAGCAGTCCTTGAAAGAGCTCTCTCAGCCCCACCTACCTCACAGGGTGTCTGTTGTGGGGAGGGGAAGGGAAAGGTGATTGTAACCCGCTCTGAGACTCCTTTGGGTAGTGAAGGGGTATAAATCCAATCTCCTCTTCTATACTTTCCTCAATGGTCTGGCACAACTTCTGTTTGTCTGGTGATTATTGCATTGCAAAGGGTCCCCCACCCAGACAAGTGACACTTCTGATACCTTCATAATCGATGGTTCCGTCTCCATCCTTGTCAGCTTCCTTCATCATCAGTTCTGCTTCGTGTTCATTCAGTGGCTCTCCAGCATTAGTCAACACATACCTAAAAGGCAGAGTCTACAGTGAATCCTGGTGCACTGCAAGGTGACGGCGGCCACAGGCAGGCTCAGAGTGTGGCCCACCTAGGAGCAGTGCCTTGCCAAAAGCCATCCGTCTCCAGGGCCGCAACTTTTCACCTGCTCTTGGCCTGGTGACGCCCCTCCACAGGCTTCTCTCTCGCACAATCGAGACTGGACAGCAAGCTCACAAACTTGCTGGGACTGTACTCACTGAACACACTCTGATATATTCTTGGGTGTCACTCAGTGTCCCCTCTAAGCTGTGCACGTGAGCGGCCGCTCATTAACACAGGAAGCCCCGCTCAGCAGCAGTCTGGACTAGCCACGCAGGGTCTTGCCCATTTTCAGATTACAGCCGTTATAGTCCGCTCA